CAGCCATCTTTATTGATGTCAATGACTTTGAATGTCAGTCTCAGCCTGAACTAACTTGGACAGTTGGACTACATTGCTACAGTTGCCTATCTAGCCATATCATTTGTGCAGTGACTGTTTCTAGCTATCTTTTATGCTTTCCAAATGCTAAACTTGATTTGATTGCAAAGGTAGGTCAAGAACTACACTGCACTCAATCAAGTTCTGAGCTGCTCAAGTTGCACTGTCATGAGTATTGTTAGTCTGTCAATATCTATTGTATGTACATTGCTTTACTTGCTTAGGCTCGCCCCTTCAATGTTTTACATTCGTCTAGTTATGCATCCTTTTTAGTTACCGTACGGTTGGTAATATTCGAGGGTCCAAAATTTCGTGTTTTCTCCAAAATGTCCTTAGAAGCTAATATTCGTGGGTACAAATATTCGTGGGTGGTAATTAGCAAACTTCTTTTCACTTGGATCTACTGGACTAGCTTCCAACACATGGCTTATGGTGGAATATGGAGTAACAGACAAGAACTCTGGCTCCTCTACTGGCTTGAAATTAGTAGCCTAGACTTAGAGCTCTGCATGGCCCGTTAATTAGTTTTTATGTGTGGGTGGGTAGGGGTTAAAATTTCGTGGATAAAAATAAACCACGAAATTTACCAACCGTACGGTATATAAAAATAACATAAGAGTTATGATTGAAATTTTGCTGGTAACTTAAAGGTATAGCCTGAAAGTAGCACAGTTAGTTTAATTTAGTAAAATGGCTCTAGCTATTTTAGATATGAAGACAAAAGTAATGAACTTTTCAATCCCTTTGTTCAGAATGGTTGTTTGTTATTGAAGTAACTTTATTTTGTAAAAAAAATTCTTAACAAAAAGCATGTGTACATGTTTATTACAAACCCATACACATTAATAAACTTGTATAGTATAGACTGATTTCATGAAAAAAAAACTACATTGTAGATGTGCCTGATGGTGGGACTTCTTATGCTATATCATCATATATTGGTGTATCACAAATATTAGTGGTACCACTGTAGGAGCAGTTTTGAGATGTTGCTATTTCACTATTTAGCCCCTTCATTTGATGTGCTGAATTTGCTTCACTTTTGATAGGAGTGTCATATATGTCTTGTGACTTAGTATTGTTGCCTACTGCATAATAGAAAAAAACAATTAAAATTTAAATAAAATTTATGTACCTTTTTTTCTGAGTATTACCAACAATACTATCAATAAAATGAGCACCATACATGTTGAGAATGCAAATAGACCACCAAGAATTACACTAGTGTATGACTGATTTATATAATTACTACCTATGGACAGGTATCTTAATTAATGCAGATTAGAGATGAAAATATACTTTCGCTGTCTTCATTAGTGATGTTCAAACTTTTAACAGCAGAAGATGTTGTCTCTATAATGTTTGTTATGTCACTCTATGAATTCATTATTGCTAACCTGTGTGTGATGGTATTAATGGTAAAACTGGTTTAATCCAGTCAACTATGTATTCAATAACTATTGCTGGTGTCAGTATCTTTATTCCATTCTCAATATCATGTGCATATACAGTGTATGTTTCATTATCAGTAAATGAATAACATGTTCCATTAGTTTGTATTGATTGTGGTATCAGTGTTGTTATCATCAATTGACATTCATTGAACACTTCAGTAACACAAGTAAAACAGACAATATTTTCATTCCTCTTTATTATTATATCCTTCACATTATATGTATCTATAATAAGTACATACATACACTTACCATACATTGATAATAGTATCTTACTTATTTTAGTTACATGATCAGAAGTACTAGTTCCATATGTACCAATTGCTGATACTGTTAGGTAATACAATGAATGATCATTTAGTTTTATATTCCAGTGTATAATATAAAACTCATCAATGTATTGAAGACTGTTAATATCCAATGGATCTGATGTATTAATGTGTCCATTAGCTTCAAACAGAATCAATTGCACTTTATTTATAAAGCACTGTTGTATCTATTGTGATATAATTAATCTTATAGTGTATAGCGCAAATGCTCTTACTTGAAATCTTATTGTTAATGTTTCATTGGTTAGATATAATGCAGATACATTTTCAGGTTTTGGTGTCAATGCTATAAGGAAGGGGAATCACTATTACTACCGGTATTAATAATAATTTCCTGTACCTATTGATATGACTTTAATGTTTTCATTACATCCAGTTTTTTCTGTTGGTAGAGTCAACTTGAAAGTATAAACATTGCACATATAAACCTCCCCATTATGAGTATACACATTATTGTATCCAGCAACATTAATCGTCTTGTTAACTGTTTGCTGGGAATCAGCGACATTCAAGGATAGTATGGTGTTATCATTTGGATAAACTTCCCATGACACAATAATGCTATCATATGTTATAGATACAATTCTGAATCCTTTTAAAACTAGCTGGCCTAATATGATTAATAAAGCACTTAATATAATAAGTGTTACATCCATTAATAATACCTTGATCTAGTCTGTATACAATATTAGTCCATCCTGATACTACGTCATAGCAGTCTATGTTAGTAACATTATCAGTATTAGATAATGGATGGACGCTAGTGTATCCTGAATTATTATATGTATTGAAGTGATTAAAAATACCAACAAAAGCTCTATATTTTGTCCATCGTATGAGTCCACACTTGTATATAAACACAGCATATGTGGCATTACTTTGATAAGCTAATACAACTTGAAAATGATTAGTCTATTGCAAGAAAATATTTTTTCTTGACAGTAATAAAATAATATTTACCTGATTAGAGTGACAACTTTGATTGATAGAAGGGCATATTTCATACCATTCAGTCCACAGTATCCATTCTGCAGATACACTACTGCCAGTTGTATTAGACAAGTAGCTATTGACTTGTCTGAAGATTGAGGGATCCTTTGAAGGAAGGATTGTAGCAAAGCGAACCTCCCCTCCTTTATTTAGATCTGTTCCATCTCGATATGGAGCAATGTACGAAAACTTGGAGTGATAGAAGTAGCCAAAGGCAACATATCCATCAGTAGTAATCTATTCAGCAAAATAGGTTTATGATAATACACTCATGCTACATAGCTCATAGTCTTACCTTTGCACAGCTGTAGCATCGTGATCCAAATTTAAGTAGCGATGGTAGCAAAATCTTGTCAAAAGAATAGTCATTCATTGTTATACGCGTGTAGTCAGTAGGATACAGGAAGGGAAGGTAGTTACTCTCAGAGCTAACAAGGAAACCATTGAAGCAGATAAGTATCACAAACACTATCATCATCTTTCACTAGTATATAATTTAAACTTGATCTCTTCAGTTCTGTAGTTTTATACTTAGACTTGTACAGAATTAATTTTACTTACAATTATCCACAGACTATTATATTAATATGTGCATTACAGTGTGCATGTACTTGCAGTTACATCACATCCTCTCCTGGTGACAAAGGATTGTGATGATGCTAATGTAGTTGATACGTTCATTGGGTAATTTACATGTATGAATGCATAAATGTTTTTATTTTATGACATCATGTGAATACCATAATGATTAATGTTTGCTATTGCTGAGCCTGATAATATCTATTGTTCAGAAAGATACTTTCACTATCTATTTGTTTACTAAACTAATTACAGTATCCCTTGTGAAAGTATGATTATAGTTTACAATGTCAATAGTCAATAATGATGATAAAATTATATTTGTAATATATGACCTTATGAGTTTATTTTTCATAGGAACAGCTAGCTCAGTCCTGTATTACAAATAATGTCAGTTAGTTTAATGACTCAAGCATTTTGTCTTTATAAAAAACAGGTACAACAAATAAAGTAAGATATTATTATTATCATGAAGCCTTTGTTCCTGTATTACCATTAATGTGTACAAAAATTGGATTTTTATGAGTTTTTAAATTTGTTCAAAAACCATACCGAAGAACATGGGCTGTATATATAGTTTTGTCAAAAATAGCTAGGAGAGGATTTTTCATTTTAATTTTTTTCTAATAGTTATACATATATTTATGTTGTGTAGAAAGTTTGATCTGATTCCAATCAAAATTAGATATTTTTATGAAATTTAAAGTAGCTCAAAAATTGGTTCAAAGACCCTATACTCTGGTACCTTGTCTCAGCGCCAAATTTAGCCAAAATTCAAAAGGAGAAAATTCTCTATTTTTATAACTTTTTCTGATACATATACATGTTATTATATTGTGTAGAAAATTTGGGCTGATCCAATCAAAAATTGAATTTTCATTGATTTTTAAAGTTGCTCAAAGATTGGACAGTTTAAACTTTGAACCAAAATCCCTGTAATTTAGTACAAAATATTTCATCAAAAATGACTTGCAGAAAATTTCCATTTTAACTTTATTTTTATTATGTTGTGGATTGGAATTTGCTCTAAATGTATATGGTGTAGGTGTAGTATATATACAATAGTGTGGCTATGAGCGAAATCACAAAGAGACTTTTACATGTAAGAGATTGGTAAACACATTTCACCATTTTAGTCATTGTGCCTATACACACAATGCATGTAGATACATACATGTATTTGCATAGACTTTGCAAGGCTCAAATTGCAAAGTGGTAGATGTTTTGAGCTGTTTGTAAAATGTAGCCAAAAGAACAACACATCTCAATTTTGACAGTCCTCTTTGTAGGATTGGTTTGTGTTGGTTTAAACATGTTTTTGTATTGGTAATAGCATTTATTTAGCTTAAAAGTGTAATTGCTCATTGTTACTTTTGTTTGTGTGCTGGCTCAACAAAATAGCAATGTGTAGTACGTGTAATAAAATCTTTTCACTAATATATACACACATATACATTGTACTTTTAGGATACTCTAAAATATTGTAAATGTCTTATTGTATTAATTAGTAGAGTATCACTTAAAATGTTCAACTCTGTGAAGCTTGTGGCCTTGGAACATCATATGTTGTTGTACTGTTAACAACAGTTTCATAGTAGTTTTTATTAGTTGATGGTATTTCATTGCTTATCATTTCAAATGACAAATTCTTTTTTGTGGTAACTGGGATCTCATAAGCCTCTGGAGTATGATTAGATATAGAGTTGTTAGATCTTGCTTTACCTTTATAGCATTGAAACCATATTAATGATAATAATAATAATGTAATGTGTCTCCTTTTACCTTTTTTCCTCAGTATTATAATCATTGCTAGTGATAGTATGAGAATAGCAAATGCTGTGAGTCCAAGGAGATCTCCCAGTATTATAATAATGATCTGTGATTGACCTATTGACAACAGAATCATGTACACATGTACATACTGTGCAAATCATACTTTGATGGTCAATATTGTCAGTAGCAGTTTGTGTTGGTTCAATCCAGTCAACTGTGTATTCAATAACTATTGCTGGTGTCAGTATCTTTATTCCATTCTCAATATCATGTGCATATACAGTGTATGTTCCATTATCAGTAAATAAATAACATGTTCCATTAGTTTGTATTGATTGTGGTATCAGTGTTGTTGTTGTTGACCCTGTTATTACTTGACATTCATTAAGCTTTTCAGTAACACAAATAAAACAGACAATATCTTCATTCCTCTCTATTATTATATCCTGTACATTATATGTATCTATAATAAGTACATACATACACTTATGAAAGACCATGCATTGATAATAGTGTCTTACTTATTTTAGTAACATTAGAGCTACTAGTTCCATATGTACCAATTGCTGATACTGTTAGGTAATACAATGAATGATCATTTAGTTTTATATTCCAGTGTATAATATAAAACCCATCAATGTATTGCAGGCTATTAATATCCAATGGACCTAATGTATTTAAAGTATTAGCTCCAACCAAAAATAGTTGCATTTCATTCATAAAGCACTGATGTATCTATTGTGATATAATTAATCTTATAGTGTATACTGCAAATACTCTTACTTGAAATCTTATTATTAATGTTTCATTGGTTAGATATAATGCAGATACATTGTCAGGCTTTGGTGTCAATGCTACATGTATATTGAATTAGAATATAAAATAATAATTATTGTGGTTGTATATACCTGTTGATATTAATTTTATGTCTTCATTGCAATCAGTTTTTGCTTTTGGTAGAGTCAGTTTGAAAGTATAAAAAACATTGCAAAGGTTTATTTCATCAGTATAGGTATATACATTATGTCCAGTAACATTAATTGTATCATTAACTGTTTGAAGAAGATCAGTGATACTCAGAATAAGTGTACTGTTAATAGCTGGAATGCTGAGTTTCCATGATACTGTAATACTGTGAGGTGTAATGGATAGGAATTCAAACTTCTCTATAGCTAATAAACCTGTATAATTTTTTATTTATTAATATTAATGATACCTTGATTTAGTCTGTATACAATATTAGTCCATCCTGATACTGCATCATAGCAGTCTATGTTAGTATCATTACTAGTATTAGCTAGTGGATGAGTATCTCTACCAAAGTCATAAATAATGCCAAAAAAAGCTCCAGTTGTCCATCGTATGAGTCCACACTTGTATATAAACACAGCATATGAGGCATTACTTTGATGAGCTAATACAACCTGAAAATGATTAGACTACAAGAAAAGTATAAATAAGCTATAGTCTAGATATTACCTCAGTGTGGTTGCAATCATTATCTGTATATGGACATAGATCATACCAGTAGGCCCACAGTATCCATTTAACAGATACACTACTACCAGTTGAATTAGATAAGTAATCATTGACTTGATTGCACAATGAAAGATTTGTTGTTGGAGTTATAATAGCATAACGTACTTCACCTCTCCCTATTAAATCTATATCACGATCAAAATATAGATCAATGAAAAATACACCATCAAGAGTGATATACCCTTTAGTCTGAATCTAGACAATAATTCCATTCAATATACTCATACATGTCATACGTCCTTACATATGCACACTTGAAACAATCTGATCCAAACTCCAGTGTGGACGGGAATGATACTTTAACATTATTAAAAGTAGAAGTATTGCTGATTGTTAGATAGTCAGTAGGATACAGGAAGGGAAGGTAGTTACTCTCAGAGCTAACAAGGAGACCATTGAAGTAGATAAGTATCACAAACACTATCATCATCTTTCACTGCTGGTATACTGTGTTGTTATATTGGTGTTTTAAAAATATTCTTGTCTTATGTAATAGTTTAAACATCCTGTGTTAGTTAATTACACATAACTTCAGGTAGTGCTGTCTTTTTTAGAATTTTGAAATCATATCTAAAGCATGATTTGCCAATACAACTATTTTTAATCAGAGTCCGTGTATTACACAAGAACATCAAAAATTTAAAAAAAACAAGATGGAGTAGGATTCTAGAGCAAATTTGTAAAAAAGTAATGGAAACAAGGACAAGTAGGATTCCAAACGACTGACTATCCATACCAACGAAAATCCAAAATGAAAATCCTACTCTCGTGACGTAAATTCTACTCTACATTGTATTTTTAATGTCATTATGTAAGTAATTACGGATCACCTTGCAATGTAGAGTAGAATTTGCGTCACGAGAGTAGGA